GGCACCTATCTGCTATTACGGTGTCAATATATGCAATTATAAATATATGCAATTGATCCTATTAGAACACGTAATTCTCTAAATATCCATTGAAATAATACTGTTTTTTTGCATAATTATCGGCGACAACAATTAGTTAAGCCTTTCGTCTCATTTCGTTTGTGTGTGATCCCTATGTTCTATCTTTCTGTCTCATCACTCGTAAACGAGCAAATATAAAATTTAGTCCGTCCCGTCATCAACTAGTTATTTCCTATTCACTTAGATCATCATTTGATGTGTGAGGCAACATCTTGTTTTATCGTTCTTACTATTCTATACATAATGTTCGATTTCAATTGAGATGTCAAGTCTTCTCTTCTGTTCGTTTTTTTTTTTTTTTCATTTATATGCATTTCTTCTTTTGTTCACATATATATATGTATGTATGTACTCTTTGTGTGTAAGAGTGCGCGTGTGTGTGAGTATGTAATGATGACATGTTGATGATGGTGATTTTCGTTGTATGATTGAAGTGGATGAGAGGGTCATCAGACCAATATAGTCACCTGAAATAGAACAGAAGTTTTATATTGTTTAAGAGAGCGGAAGATTTTTTAGGTAGAGTAGATAAACGCACATCACATATAACACCAATTGAAATTTCTTATGATGATAAGAATAAAAGAAGATGTATAGGCGCATTGTCTGACATCGCATCTGGTGAGTAGGAGGGGGAGAGAGAGAGCGAGCGTGATGTAAAGGGTGAGAACTTGATCAATTCATCATTATTAATAGAGAAGAAAGACAATGTGTAACACTCTCCAATCTGTTGAAAAGCAAAGGTGAATTCTTAAGAATCATTAATCTTAATAATGATTCGTATAATGAAGAAAATCATGTCTATTTTACTTAAAATTTTAGCATATTTATAAGACTAGAGATTTGATTGAGTACTATCGTAAGATTTCTTTTCTTGTTAAATATATTTTATTGAATTTTCCATTTGATGCTCTCGTTCTCATAACTATGAACGTGGTTTGAATCGTAAGAATACTATCGCCATCGGCGATCTCTAATGTTGAATCGATGTCGTACGAACAAGGTCAGTAAGATGAAGCCGGAAAAGAATGAATTCCTTTTTTTATCCCTCCGCGCTCGAAACCAAGTCAAGGCAAGCTGTTTCATGTTATTGACTGTCATTTTTTTCCTCATATGTATATTGTACAATGCCATTCAATATCTCAATTAAGATGATCTATGTCTTAAGTTTCAATGATGAAAGAAAACGTGTGACACAACAGTAGATCTGAGCTGTTTATTCTTTAAGAGCGTGTGTATTGATCATCAAGTGTGACTAAAGAGCATGCGCTCGTTAGATTTTCTTGATACCGACCTTTTTTTTACTCTTTCATTTTATGTGAAGTGTACTTTAATTTTTTTTTCTTCTTCTTCACCTTCCGCAAAGAAAAAAATCAATCGTTTTTTGTCCTATACAAAATGAACTCGCTGCAATCGTTGATCATTAATACACGAAATAATAACAAACAAGCATCACTTGCAATGCTTGCTCAATCAAATAGGTAAGCAAAAGTTTGTAATTATGATGTTCATTTTTACCAATCACTTGACAGATTCTTTTTTTAAAAGAAAAAAAGGAAAAGAAAAAAAAAGGAAAACAAAAAGTTCTTCTCTTATTTCATATAATATGTAAATTGTCTAAAGATCCAATATCTTTTAAAGTAAATATAGGACACGAAAAAAAAAATTCCCCTATTGCATTTATTTTAGTTTTATCAAATCATTCCCTATTGTCAATGATTATTTTGTCAAATTTTATACATCAAATCATTGTTCAATGTTCGATGAACATTTAAATTGTATCAATCGCAAATATAGTCGAAGAAAAGATGATCATCAAGTAACTATACGCATATCTCCAAACCATTTTGCTACATATAGAGAAAAGATAAAAAGAAAAGACAATTTGATATGTCTAAAAGCAAAAATTGTCGTTTTTTTTTCTCTTCCCACAATAGTTATTAGATGTCTCTATTTTTTTTTTCTTCTTCTATAACCTTGCACACTCAAATATTTGTCTCGTCTTCTTTTATTGCATGAGTTGTTATTACAGTATCGCCGTCCTTTTGTCATTAACAACACTTCATCGAATTTTCGATCCACTATTCTCACCGACAATTATCATCATTATATGAAACGCTATCAACGTCATATATCAAAGTAAGAAACTACTATATTTTAAGTAAAAGACGATGAAATATGTTCTTCTACATCAGATATATATATATATAGACATCTTCTTTTAAATTGTTCATCTTTGTTAATAACTTAATTTTGTTTGTATGATCGGTCAAACTTAAATGATAGTATACAAATGCACATTGACATACAGACACACAGAGAAGAGTTATTGTCTTATCTGTTAAGTAGCAAATAATGAACATTGCTTAGTGTCTCGATATGTGGAAGACAAAAAGATTGAACATGAAATAATGTGCAAGGTCAGCTGTTCTCACAGACGATGAATGATCAGACATCGATTATGAGATTGTATTCGTTTTACTTTTACTTTTAACTTTACCGACACCAATTCTCTATCATACAAAAATATTCCTGTCATTAGCACTTCTCAGTACATATACGTCTAGTCTTACACTTCTCACTATATGAAGCCAAGAATAAGGCGGAGTGCATTAATTTATTGAACTAATCCGTTTAATTTTAGTAAGTTATCTCTATATGTGAAAGGTCACTCACATTGAGTGTTCATAGATAGATCATCATTATCGTTCGTCTGATGTGTCTCGCTTTACGTATTATGTATTCCATATTGATGCTTCTAAGTTTTTTTTTTCTTCTCGTTCTTTCTGGTTTTGTTTTGCGAATGTACATGTCGATTAACGAAGCGGTTAATCATAAGATTTGATCAGGAAAAAAAAAGAGAAGATTTACTAGGAAATGTCTATGTATTCTATTGATGTATCCGTTAGTTAGTATCATTGTCGCCTGTTCGAAGGACATATCGTGATCTTAATTTACATCATCATTCATTATCGGCAACAAAAAAAAAATGCGAAAATCATAATCATCTTCATTCACAACAAACGGTAGTTAAAAAGCAATTCCATCGTGTATTTCTTCTACTGACCATCATCATCCGCCCCATAATAAATCGTAGTTCTTTCATTCTCATTCTCTATTCAATAAGTAAGTAGACAATACCGAGAACGAGAGACAGAGAGAAAATTTATAATCATGTATGCGGTTATTAGTTAGGCGTTGGATACTTTGTGTCACACCTCTCTTTCATCTGTCTTGTATATGTTGATTCTTTTCTTTTTGGTTAAATCAAAAGATGGTTTTCAACCCGGATATATATGTTGTGCTCAACCAACTACTTTTGCCTGATTACATCATATTCATTGACTGACTACCTACTGGATCTTTTATTGACTTTAAGGTTGATTATAGAAAAAAAAACGTTCTACTCTAAAAGAGACGTATGCTTCCTTTCTTTTTTTTTTCTTAACTGATTTATTTCACTTCTGTTTATTAGACATCTTTACATTATCAAGGTTGAAAAAAAATTTCCTTTTTTTTTTTTTTTTTTTGTTGTATTCACATCCTTGATACTTGCATTTTATAGATTGGTAATGACATGAATATATATATATATATGTTTTTTTGTGTGATAGAAATTAATTATTTTTCTTTTGCCTACTTATTGATGATAGAAGACTTGTCGTTTCGAAGAAAGACAGATGGTCACGCTATGTCGTTATTACAAACAAAATACAAGATACTTAAACAGCATACACTTCTTAGTAATTGGCATAGATTCTTGAGAAGAAAAACTAGACTTGTTCAACACGGTAGATTTAATTGGCAATGTAAAGAAGTAAACATAAATAAGCCTACTAGGTCTAGTCTTACACATATGTGATCAAGGTTCGATTGACAATATTTAACTAATATTATATGTTCGTTTGACATGAATAATTGTAAAATAAATAATAAATGATTTTTTTTTTTTTTTTTTTTCATTTCTCATGAACATTGAGATTTTATGAATGGATATATTTAGAATAATTCTAATACGAAATTATTCGTAGAGTGCATCCAATGTTGAGAATGTGTTGAATCTCTATCATTACTTGTCATCTTATATCTATTTTCGGTCTGTTCGTCAATTGACTTGTCATTTCTATATTAGAAGAAAAACAGAAGAAATGAAACTCTGGTTTCAGATATAAGCAGTAAATTGTTGTTAGCTATTCTACTCGTCATTATTATTGTATATAGACGATGTCAAGAATATAATATAGCCATCAAATATGAAGCGAATATCATCACTTACTTTTCTTCAATACAACAATATATAAATCGAGTTTTCTATTTTCTTTTCTCTTTCTATACACTCATGTCTATCCTTCATCGTTAAAAAATTACGAGATAGCCTGTCATATAATATATTGATTGATCGATGATAGTTGCTCTTGTTATTTTCATCGACATACTCCTCCTCGTCGTCATCAAAAAATGAGATAATCTGATGAAACTGAAAAAGAAAACACTAAAATAGAACTTCATTAGTATTTGAATAAGATGGACACTTCTTTGAATTTGAGTACAAAATAAGAGTGTCGTTTATAATATATATAAGAAAAAAAGAACGAAATATTTACATAAAACAGTACAATGATGAAGTCATCTTTTGTGTGTGTATATATATATATAACAGAGTGAAACTCAATTCTGATTGAAGAATGTCAGTAGAGATCATGTATAACCTTGCACATACGTGTTCAATACATACAGATGTGATGTATGTTTGCTTTTATAATACTTCTGTACTTGCGTCATTCACTATAACAAAGAGATGACACATTTCTTTTTTTTTTTTCTTCTTCTTCCCGTTGTTCGTTTAATCAAGTAGAAATTAGAGCTATGTCTTTTTTCATCATTTCATTTATAGTTTGTCCTCGTCGAAACAACGAACAATGATCGGCATTGACCCCAAGCATTCTATCGAACTTGTACAACAAGAAGAGCAAACACCAATGTCTTGTTCAGTTGTCAATCATTTGCATTCGTCCATTACAACTGATGTCGGTTCTAGTATTTATGATAATAATAATAATAATAACAATAAACATCATCATCAAAAGAAAATTATTTCATCATCACGAGTAAGAATAACATTCAAATAATTTTACTTTCTACCTAGTTGACATGATATACAACAGCTTAGTCAATAAATTTATATTGTCCATTTCCTTTTTCTTTTCTAAGATGTAAATAATTCAATAGAGAAGTCACTTATGACAGTATTTTTTTTTTCTTTTCTTGATTGACCGATGCAATTGGTCTCTATGCATTTAATTTTGTCTCTGTAAAATAACTAATGCATCACTAAAGAAAGACTATGTTCAAATCGAATCGCTAATGAACTTTGAGACATGACTAGAAAAAGAAAATTCTTTTTTTTTTTTGTATTATTTTATTTCTCTATATGGCATTGTTTAGATTAGACTTGGTCTACGTTGTTTATGTCCATTAGATGACAAGCAAAAGCAATTATTTGATGAGATCTTTTCTAATAATGAACAGACAACGAACATTAGTGAACGTATACTTGACGAATGTATATCACGTTTAACAAAGAATTCTTGTAATACATTACTTATACTTGGTGGACATTATCGAGAAGGCAAGATATCAGGATTGTTTATTTTTTCTTTTGATAAAAAAATTAATCAATACTTCTAATGTTTCTGTTTTTCTTTTGTGTTGTAGTTTATCAACTTCAAACTATAGTTCTATTATCAGCATTTATACGTTTAGATAATTTTATTAATAACGATCAAGAAAAAGATTTAATCCTTCGTATTAGTGTACAAGAATTTCTAAATCAAGAAATATCTGAAAGTAAATATTAATTCAAAAAAAAAAAAAAACTTGAATGTTTATTTTCTAATAGAAAATTATTTATTATCATTAAAAGATCCTTCTATTTCGTCTCGAAATGAAACATGTCAATATTTAAATAATCTTTGTTCAAATCATCGTTATAATCCTTTATTAATTACATTTCATCTTATATATCGTTCAACAAATACTAATAAAGTACTATTTCATATACTTTTTACCAATGATAATGATAGTGAAATAGCAAAAGAACAATTTTCTGATATTTTTATGTCATTGGCATTATCATTCTCGTCAAATAGACAGAAACAATCATGTAATATATCGAAGTAAGTTTTACTAATTATACTATTTTTCTTGGTAATGTTTTTACCGAATGCAGTCTATACTATAATTTGTATAATAGAAAGCGGAATCTAACGACCGAACAATCATTATCATCGTTATTACATCAATATGTGTTAAATAATGTTGAACGACATTCAAAAAATTTCTTGTATATCTTAGCAAATGTTAAAAATGATAAACAATTAAAATATTGGACGAAAATTCAACGTTTATTTCGAATAAAAAAACATCGTTTGAAAGTAAGAAGAAAAAATATTTACTAAAAAAAAAAAAATAAAAGATCGATATGTTATAATAAGAAATCAGATTATTTAGATAAGTTAAACATTATTAAATAAATCTATTTATTGAATTTCTTTCGTACGAAAATTTATGGATATAAATCATAGAATACATCGACTGTAATGAATCGAATAAAAATATACAGAAATCGGATTTTTGATTTTCATCACTTGTTAAATTGACATACGAAGGTACGTTTCAAAATAGATAAACTGAATATTTGAACTGTACATGTGTCTTATCATAAGCGAATTTCATGAAATAGCCCTTGTTTTTTTAGTAGAAGTATTCTCAAAGGAGTTCAATCAATAATCGTAAAGTTCAACATTAAAAAAGTCGATTGTTTCTTTTTGATATTAAATATCAATATTTTCTTATTTAAAGTCTATATTGAATACATGATAAATGATAGTCGAATCTAGAATTTTCAGATTCTATCAAATTGTATTTTGACACTTTCAATGAAACTTTCTGACCGGAATTGAATAGTCGCTCTGAAGATACAAGATTCTTTTTTCCACTATTTTTCGTTTAATGACAAGCGAATTCTACATATTTTTCAGACAAATAGAGCCCATCGGATTCAAAATTAATGGGCTCTAGCCCTTATGTATCGCTCATATACGAGTAGAATAAAGATTAAAGTTATTTATCAATTTATCTTTCTATGAATTGTCATCGATTGTATTATGTATGTGCAGAATATAGTCCGCCTCAGGTCAGGTCAAATAACAATAAGTTGGCCAATGTCAAGTTGTACATAAGACAAAAAGTAAATCTAAATGAGATTCTGATTTTGTTCTTGATCTAATTTGAGAGAGTTTGTATGAAAAAAAAGATTTAATCTTGGAAAAAAAACTTGATCTAATTGATCAAAGAATATTTTTTTCATTTTTTCAACCAAATGGTTCCTCGACATTCATGTACGAATTCTTCATCTATGTATTAGGAACGTTTAATGACATCTGATAACATTTTACTTTTTCATCGCTTAATCAATTTCCTATTAAAAATGCATTAACTGAAGTGCAAAGTACTATATAATCTAGAGTAAACTATATTTGCTTAACCATTTAACCCGTAGTGGAATAAATATGTCCTACTTTTTTTCTTTTTCATCGCAAAACTATAATAAACTAAGATAAAGGACACTTGTAGAAAGACGGCTGACACTGCAAACCACAAAATTAACTTCTGGCTATTCTAGTTCAAGTGACATTGTTTATCTGTTCCTTCCACAAGTAGTTTTGAAGAAGGTTATCACTAATTCTCATTTCAAAAAGAGACTCGCTGGATATGTGCTTTATTTTAAATTTGAGTTAAGCTTATACTTTTCTTTCTGCAACAGCGACCTCGTTGCTGATTTTGTAGAGCACATGGCTGTTGCGCCAGCCATTTGATACAAAACAAGTGCATAATGGCGCAGTATGTTTTCAGTAAAACAGATAAGCAAGTCAATAATACTGATGTCTACACGTGCAGTGCTCCAATATTGTTTCTCGTACATGATGATCTAAAGCATGGGCTATCTGATTGCATCATCAGTATCGATAGAACTTGGTCATCCAAAACTCGCCTGTTAAAGGATTAAACAAGCTTTTCTATATCAAAAACCGAGGTCTATATTGAAAAAACCTAATCGAATACATGTAAAGTAGACATTAAAAATCTACGTTATCTGATAAAAATTTCCTAAATATCGAATCTTTTTATTTGATATTTTTTTTTACAATAAATAGAACTCGGTAAACTCTGATCGTAAACACCAATCCGAAGTCGATCGATCGGTATCAATGCATCGAGTATAGATTAAAAACAGTTTTTTCCAAGGACCCGAAGAAAAAGCCTTTTTTTTCATATTTTTTAGTTTGCCATTATTTTTTGAAGCATGATTATCTACCATTTCATCAATAATTACATATCCACACATCTTAATTCTATCGCAGATAGAAGACTCCGATCTAGTGTGACCTTGAGTGATGCTTCTATTATTCGGAACAGTCTTTGCACAGATATCCGCTCTATTAATGGCTATAATCATTAAATTTTCAGTAAGAATATTTGATTGGATCAGAAAACTCACTAACGAAAGTATTTAAAGTAAACGTTTGAAAATAAGTAAGATTACAGATTACTTTTTAAACGAATTTGATCAATTTTCATGCTAAAAATATTCAAAAATAATTTCATACATCAAACGTACTATAAGCATTTGATATGAAATTTTAATAGGTAAGGTGAATAGCAATGAGCACTGAGATAATAGGTTTAATATGATATAATTTGTTACTAATATTGAAATACTCTTGTCTGAGCAAAGAAAAGTCTTTTGACCTTGTATTTGCTGCACATGAAGGATGATCAAAACTTCATTTTTCCTTGTTATCAAGGTTGTTCGTGTTCTTATTATGTTTAAAGTCAAATACCAAAGGATTCACGTTTCGATACTTTTAACCTAATAAAAAGACTTTTGACAACAATTTTAAATATCATATGAAAATATTTTCTTTTATATAGATGTCTCGAGATCGTCATGATTCATCATCTGTTGAAACAGTAATAAATCATAATAATGAAGAAATATGGATTGATGGTCCATTAAGTTCAACAAATTCTAAAAGTGAAATTTGGATCGATGGTCCACTTGAATATTATTCTCCAACATTAAAATTTCGTCGTAAAAAATCAAAATCAAAATCACGTTCGAACTCCCGTCGTCAACATGCACCAAAACCTAAAACTTCTATACTTCCATCAAAACCTTCATTAACACCATTTCTATCATCAACTATTGTACAAAAAGATAATGATGAATCATCAGCAGCAGCAACAAATTTTGATAGTGAATCAATTGTTAGTTCACATTGTCATTTACCTGTATTACCTGTATTTAAAGATCATACATTATTACCATTTCGTTCAAATCAAATTTTAGACATAACAAAACCATTAAAAATTGACTTAAAATTTAGTACAAATAAACTAAATGATGATATGGAAATGTTAGAAAAAACACTTGAAACATTATTAATTCCATCACCTATTGTACCTATAAATAATGATAAACAATCTATAATAAGTCAATCATTAAGTCGTATTGATCAATTATCATCATATATGTCAAATGATGAAAAAACTAAACGTTTATCAAGAATTATTTCTCCAACACGTTTTGATCAAGTATTTAAGTAAGATTCTTCTTTTTTTGTTTTTTGAGAAATAATATCTATTGATATTATTTATTTTTTTGTGAAGTAATACTCAATTATCAGAAAAGTTTCATCCTTCATCAATCGGTTCATCAGTTCCAAATTCACCTATAATTAAATCTCAAGATCGTCCATCACGAACACCATTAAATTCAACACCAAATACACCTCATCGTTTATTATCATCAACAAAAAAATCAAAAAATCTATCAGAATCAAATCGTCAAACAACAAATCAAATGCGTCCATCTATATTTCAACGTTTATTTGGTTTACGTTCATCATCAATTCCACCACAATCATCAATACCAATTGTTATTGAATCTCCACCATCAATATCACCATTAACAGTTACATTAGATTCACATGATGATCTAATGCCATTAACAACAAGTAGTACAGCATCATCGGCATCAGGACGTGCTAGTTCAAGTGGTTATGAATCTATGAGTAATACAGCATTTGAAGATATGATTTCATCAATACCAATAATTATGAATAATGAAAATAATCCAATTAAATTAAGAAATAAATCAATACGAAAAGGTTCGAATACAGATTACAAAAAAAGAAAGAGATTTCATTTTGCTTGAACAAACGAAAATAATTTTCTAAATTAAAAAATATGTTAATCAATAGTAGATTTTATTACACATAGTTTATGTTGAGTGTGGAAAAATTTTTTTGTAAAATGAAAGATGATTACAGTGAGTGTTTATATATACAGATTGTCCCGTAAATATCTAGATGATTAAAAGCTTTCAATATTTTCAGTAGGATTTTTTTCTCGGAGATAAGAGACTTATCAAAGTTTTTACTAGGCAGTCATCAATCGATTTTTGAATAAACACTATTGATTGAAATAAAAACTTACAAGACTGTTCCAAAGTATCCTGTCTGTGAACTGAACTGCTTCTTTAGTTACACATCTGAAATTTTTTATTTTATGTATATGTTAGTTAGAGATCGAACCGGTTGGAAATCAATATCGACATTTGACTGACGAGTAGTCGTGCTATTCCATTTGTAGAGAGTGATATTTGACATAGAAATAATCAGAGCAAAAAATTAATAAGACGCATTGATACAATCTCTGGTGTAGGTCAATAATGCGAGCCTGCTCTCGATTTATGATAGTACTTCTCACTATGAGTTACGAAGAAAAGAAGCTTACTACCTGATCAATCTATGATTATGTTACATATTTGAATTTTGAAACGCTTCGATGAAACTCAATGACATTCAAAGTATAAACGGCCGCATTATAGCATTACATAACGATACATTCGCCGAGTCATAAGCTTCTTATTTTTTTTTCCTTGAGTTTTAGGCACATAGAGTAAGAAGGTTTATCATTGTTTAGAACTTCTCTTGAACTGAAGAAAACGAAATAGAAATGTTGAAGATTTTTAAAAACAATCAAAATATATTAATTTTCGATGGTTCTTCGTATAAGTAAACGCTCAATGGATTCTCTTGTCATGCAACAGAATAAATTAGTTTATTATATTCAATCAATATTGAAGTTACATGAAAAAACAAAATTTTTTGTTAAATAAAATAACACCTTTTGAGAATATAAAAACATGTCGACATATGTTTTACTGTTATATCAATAATAATTGAGGTAGCAGATCCATGTAAGAGTCGTAGTTTTAATGAGATCATTTAGACCGTATGTTTGATCAATTTTTTAGATATTCACCAAGATCATTTAGTACACTGAATTTTGCAAATAATTTTAAAATTTGTTGTCCTACGACTGATGCTTATCAATTTAAAATGAATATTTTATTTAGTCGACTATTAAAAAAAAACAAATTTTTGTATTGTCATGTATGATAAAAGGTCAACAGAAGTGAAATTGACATAAGTGGAATCAGTTATTTTGGGTTCCAAGACTGGATGATCGTCATGCTCATATTTACTCTCAAGTTGTTTCAGATTTGTTAATATAAAAGTATTCCGAGATCTATTTAATACCATAGCGAGCTCTATTAGTCGTTAAATGTTTGTAAGAAATATCTAGCAAGATTAGTAAGTGTAAATATTTATTGTTTATCACATATGTCTTCTGGTTAGTATTAAACTTTTTACTAAGATAGTTTGACTTGTAAACTGAAAAAAGACACGTAAAAAAATAATCTATTCTAATCAAATCGATTGCAATAACAAAAACAAAGATTTTCTTTATTATTATTAGATGAACGACGTTCAAATCCTAATCCATCATGGAATAGTCCAGTGGTAAGTTTGAAATAAAAAGAATTGATGGAATTATTTTCATTGATGTATTTCTTTTGTTCGTTACAATAGCTTCGTGATAAATCTCATCGTCAACAACGTATATCTCAATTAAAACATCGTCAAAATGAATTAAAACTTGAATTAGCAATGACAAAAACATTTTTAACCATGGATAAAAATAAAAATTTTGATCATAAACATTGTAAATATAAAGAAAGAATAGAAGATTTTTTTTTTTTTATTGATCTAATGTTTTTTCTATCTATTTTCTTTAGCTCCTAACTCCACACTAAATAATAATCCAATTCATATCATAATGTCAAATACAAATGATGAAGATGAACTTGCAAGAGACATTGAACATTTAGAAAAACGTTTAGCAACAGCTAAATCCCAATTAACCCATGGAACATATAAAAAAAATAAATTATTTACATCTTAGAATGATAAATAAATAATATATATGTATATGTTTATGTTTATGTTTGTTTTCTTTTTTTTTTTTTTATAATTTCTTTATTTGATATATAACAAAGCAAATGCACTTGTTTATAAATAAATATACATGGAAAAAAAGAAAAAACGCATAAGACATAGACTCAATAGTGTATCATTTACATGCTTTCGAGGATAAAAAAAACACGTCGTAAATCGATACAGTACGCATGCGATGTACACCTTGTTTGTCATTCGGTTACACTCGTCACTATTGCAATTGCATGCTTTCCTTGCAATTCTGTAGATGTGAAAAAAGAGCTGTGGACATGTGAATGATTGTCGGTAGACGTAAAGAAACATACATTTACATCGTTCTCTTTAAAGGATAGAGCTGTAAAATTAACAACAACATGACGCCACCGCTCATTCTGCTCATGTATGCGATTGTCGGACCATTTGCAGTTTTAAAACTTTATGCTAAAAATCTTATGCGTCAAGCTTATAAAAATCAAATTCTCCTTAAATTAACAGCATCAATCATCAGTTTAGGAGTTGGCTCTCAAATAGCTTATAAGTATCGTTATCAACATACACTTATATGGTTAACAAGTAGTTTGTTAATTCTACTACTCAACTATTGGTATATAATACCATTTCTTCTCATTTATATTCTACCTATAATAAATAATATTATTAATTATTGGCTTAAATTTATTGATTTATTTTCTAATAAAATTCTTCGTCCAAATAGTACAAAATTTCGCGAAATGTTACCATCAATATGGATATTTGAATCAAATCAAAAATTATGGCCTATTGAAAGTATTCGTATTATGTTAATGTATGGTTCAATTGGTCCAGCAATATATTGTGGTTATGAAATTTATTCATATTTATTCTTTGGTATCAGTTTTAATTTATGTATTTCAATAAGTATAATAATTCTTGTAACAACAACATTATGGCATATACTTGAAGCTATTGATCGACATCTTTATCCATTTATATTTGCAATTATAATACAATATTATATTATACCAATAAAATCATTTTTAAATATACCATTAACACTTTTATTAACAACATTTTTATTTCCAATATTAAATAATCTTTTAATTAGTAATTCAATTCAAGAATTTATACATAATATAACATTATTAAATTTTCGAACACTTATAGAAGCAAATAATAATTATAAAAGATTTTATTGTGAATTTGTTAATTTATTTATAACATTTTATTTCATATATTATGTTTTTCTTGATTGTTTAATTAATAATGTATCATGGTTATTAATAATATTAATTATAAGTTTTTTATTAATTTATTTATATACAAATTTAATATATTTAATATTATATCAATCAAATATAATTATGTTTTTATTTTCATCATTTATTTTATGTAAATATATTCTATATAGACGAATTGAAGATCATTTTATTACAAAATATTTTCTTTTGATTATGATATTAACTTTCTATTTTGCTTTGATTTATCCATTATTGTATCATATATTACGTCGTTCAATAATTAAATCTGCTCATAATATTGGATTAAAATTACAATTATTTCGAGAAAAAATTAACCAGAAAAAAGTTGAATTTAGTAAAAAATATTTATGTATAACATATATTCATGATCCATCAAAATATTTTATATTGCATTTATTCAATACTATAATCACTATTTGTTGTTTAATAATATTTCCAATAAATATTTTATTACGATTAATTTTATCTTTATTGATATATTTACTTATAGGTCGATTATTATTAACACATGGTTTAGAAAGTCTTCGAGTTTTAATATCATTATGTACAAGTATAACAGCTGGTGCTCATGTTTATGATCGTTATAATAATTCTCTCATATTAACAATATCAATTGCATTGATAACATATATATGCACATTTGTCATTATGTTTCCGATGATTTATCGTTTTGTACAATACATATTGATATATTTGCCTTTAGTAAATTATCTTAATGACTTTTTACAAAACTTATTTTCTTATACATGGTCATATTTTGATATTTTTTGGCCGCATATTAAAGAAAGTTTTAATGAAGTTAAAACACAGATTGAACAATCAAGAATTAATATATTTCATCATTCTAGAAATGTACAATAAATTTTAAGCGTATTATCGATTTTTTTATCGATATTGTTTTGTTTCTTTTTTTTTTTTTATTTGTTCAATTTCGATTAAAAGTTATGTGTTAGAGATGTGACAATTCATGATAAATTATGATCAATGATGCATGACTAACCGAGATATACAAATTTATTTTTATCTTGATGTATAATCAGATTTTGTTGAATAAAATAAAATTTTCAAAACTATTGAATTTTTTTTTCTAATGATATTAACTTAAATAAATTTAAATATTTTTCTTTGTCTTCTGTCATATTGACAGTTTCTATTTAAATAATGTTTCTTTATGTACTCAATAAAACCAATGATGATATTGAATAAGTCGTTTTCATTCTATGAGTTTTGTGTAACAATGGTTCGAGTATCTCAATCGTAACTATGGCGGAGTGACCATAATAAATCATTCACATTTTCAAATTATTGTAATGGATTCATTCAATCAGAAAAAAATTCAATTCTTTTTTTTTTTGTTTCTTTTTCATTGATCGATTCTTTCGTTTTGTATTTAACTTTGATTTTCATTGGAATAAAAAATGGATTTAATGATTTGTCTTGATTAAAAATAACATGTGCTACATATTTTCTTTAATCAATCGATTTATTTCGGTTACAACAAAAAAAAGAAATATTTGTCTTTTCCTATCATCTTTAATTCATTTTCCCAACAGGTTGCAATTTTGATTACTTCAGACAGTCATTTTTTATTATTGCCTCTTTGTGCCTATAAGCTATAAGCATTTATTCCCTGCTGTTATCACAATATGTTTATTCGGATATGGGTCAAAGATGAACATAGAATTGGTTAAATGTCATTTAATTATTCCTCTTCATATTTGTTATAAGAAAAAAGAAAAAAAAAAAAGCATAAAAAAGTACTAGACATGTATATAGTACTATTCATTGTGTCGCATGTCTACTATATATATCAGAATGTCATTATTCGTAATTGGAGAAGCGCTATATCTGCTTACTACAGAATAGCTTTTCTTGTCGTTCGTTTGTTCGAGCTCATGACCTTCTTTTATTCTCTCGATTTTTTTTTTCTTTCTTTCTTTCTTCCATAAAAGTTCATCCTGCCGTTGCAGCTGCTGAACGCTCACTCTTCATTTATGTACGTTGGCCAACGATGGAACTCGTTCTCTTATGTTCGACATATAGAAGTTTTTCTCTTTTTGTTCTTTATCTTTTCTTCTTCTTCTTCTTCTTCTTCTTCTTCATCATCTTCTTCTCGTTGTTCTTGTCGTTATAGTAAACGAGAACTGTAGACGCCTTTTTTTTTTTTAATGCTATATATGTTCTTAACAATAAACTCATGCACGTTCGCGTAAGAAAGAAAAAGAGAGAGTTAGATGTATAGTCGTCGTCTTTGTTTGTGTTTGACGCCCGAATGCGTTTGATATGATGAGGTGAGGACAATAGAATAATAAAAATGATTGAACGAGGTGTGATAGACGGAACTATATACTTCAAACAATTCGGCACTAAAGGGCATAAAACATACAGAATAAGTAAAATATAACGAAAAAACAAAATATTTGATTTACATTTGATCAAAAGAAACATTTTAATTTTTTTACTTTATTTCATATAGCAATGATCGATTATACAATAGATTGAGACATAGGTTCTTTTTTTTTTTCTTCCCTTAAAATTATGTCGCATGTAATCGATGCTTTTGTGACCTAATAAAACAAACAAATATTCTTTTCTATTTATATAGAAGACACACAAGAAAGAAGTTGTTCGAGAGAGAGAGAGAGAATCTTGACGATGTCTTAATGCTTATCTTCGTTTGTCATCTGTGTTGTTTTATATGATATTTTCTAGCTTTTTATTATTTGCTAACACATACATGTTCATGCTGTAAAGACAAATCTAACATTGGATTGACCATCTGGCGATGCTTTCTCGTTCTTCTCGTCTGTTCATATGACTCTTGAGGGTCGTACACAAATGTATATATTGTATGTTCGTGCTGCCGTCCTTGTCTCTTCCTTTTTTTCTTGCGGCCTACCATTCGTTCGTTCACCCGCACTCGTTTGGACAATAAAAATCGATCATTTTACGGCGGCTGGAGTAACTATATATATACATATATATATATAAATGTATATCTCTCCTCTCCCTTTTTTTTTCCTTCTCTTTTTTCTCTTTATGACCGGCTCAATTTGTGGATGGCGAATGAGGCTAAGCGCGCGCGTACGTATAGAACTGGTTCATCATCATTGAACAGAACAGACACACATCCTTCTTTTCTTTTCTCAACATACTCTACAAGTGTCCGATAGTCTATTGTTAGTGAACTTTATTCTTTTAGCTTTTTCTCTTCTTCTTCTTCTTCTTTTTTTTTTTTTTTAGAAATATTAAAAAAAAAAAGAAACAATGTATTATCATCATCTATATAATTTAATAGTTTTATTTTTTATTTTCCCATCATTAGTGAATTTATTAATAATTAATAGTGATGTTTTAATTATACCAAAGAATGCTCAACATGGTTTTGTTCTACTTGAAGAAACAAAACCAAGTCGATTTAATGAATTTAATCAATGTTTAAAACAAAATTCTGAAATAAATATTGATATCGATAAAAAATATGGTGATTTAATTTTAAATAAAACAATAGAAAATTATAATTTTAAACAGCAAGAACAACAGCAACAATCACAACTTCTATGTACAATCAATCGAAATCAAGTAAAGAAGATTTTCTTTGGTTTTTTTTTTTTTTGAAGTGTGATCTAATCAAATTGTTCAATGTCACATTAGTATAGTCTACACGCAAAGTTGAACTTATACTTCTTTTTTTTTTTTGTTCCTATCCAGTAGATTATTTGTTCAGGAG